GCCCTCTAGCGGGGCGGGAGGCGGCGGCCGCGCCCCGGCGACGGCGCTGTGGGCAGAGCTGAGCCGGCAGCTCACGCTGAGCTTACCTGACTAGAAAATCTTCCCCTTTGACCCTGCATTTTATAACTAGCTGTCTCTCTTTGCTTTCAGATGCTACAACTGTGGTGGTCTCGACCACCACGCTAAAGAATGTAGTCTACCTCCGCAGCCAAAGAAGTGCCATTACTGTCAGAGCATCATGCACATGGTGGCTAACTGCCCCCATAAAACTGTCTCGCAGCAGCCCACTAGTTCTCAGGGAAGACACGAAGCTGAGCCGCAGCCTTCCACTTCTGCTTTCCCAAGAGAAGGGGGAGGAACGCACGGCTACGCGTCTCCATCGTACTCTCAGGAGGGCAGGTTGGAGATCTGGGAGCGCTCGGGCAGGTCACCACAGGAAGCTTCGTCCAGTAAGTTGTCTGCATCCCCCGAAGAACCGAGCAGAAAGGGGCCTTCTGTTCAGAAAAGGAAAAAAACTTAAACCATTTGTCATAACTTTTCATTTTCTTTATCCTCTTGGGATGTCTACCTCATGCAAGTACAGGGGAAATAATTTCATTATCAGTAGCTGACCTGGAATTTTAACTACTGTTGAGGAACTGTGAATTTTTTTTCTTTGATAGACAAATCACTCCAAGCAGAATACATTTGAGCAGGGTGCATTATGTTTTACCTTCTGTATGTGTGTGTATGAGTGTGCACGCGCGTGTGTGTATGTGTACATATCTATAAATATATATTTTTTTCCATCAGACCACTCTCCAGCTCCCACAAGACATTACTGTGAAGCAATAGACACGGTATCCACAAATGTTCCTGAACTCGTTCCTAGAACCTATTTCCAATTGTGTTCAAAAAACCAAGAAAACCCAAGAAATCTCACTCAAAACCAAACCAAACCTGATAAACCACACACAGAACTGAGATCAAGACTGTTACTTCTCTTGTGAACCAAAGGATACTCTCACATTTTAAAGCTGCCATATGGTACTAAAGATACTAAGACATCCCCCATACCATCAATTTGAGTTATTTTCTTTCTCATCTCCACAAGCATCAAAACCCTTCCCCTCCCTGTGCCCATGCAGGGCAGTGTCATGACTCAACATGGCTCTCATTGCCACCATCCTTTGTTGGTGAGGAGTTTAAAGCTCCAGAAAAGACAATGAATGTGTAGTTTCTGTGCTGGTTTCTTAAAATGTTTTCTTAAATTAATGTGGTTGTAACTGTAATTTAGATGACTGTTGTGTAGGGGAGAATGTGTAAGTTGTTACGGAGCAGACCTTTTTGAGTGGTATAAGGATACCATCCTGTTTAACCCTTATATTCTATGAACGTTTAGGGGACCTTGGTGGTGGCAGCAGCAGCAGCAGCAGCAGCAACTTCTCTTGGTCCTGAGTAGTGCCCCTCAGTTTGAAGGGACTTCCTCCTTGTTTTCTGTTGAAATGCCGTGGAGAGAACTCCCTAGGGATTTTTGTTGTTGCTATCTGTTTTGGTTTTAATGAAAACTAAATGCAAAGCTAGTGAGATCCTGGGATAAATAGTTTCTTAAGAATGAAGGTAGATGAGTACTTGGGGTTGCTCAGCCAGCCTGCCTTGCTGATGATACAGCATATGTACGGTCAAGAAGGACAGGTGTCTGCTGCAGACAAGCCTGAGTGAAGGGACCTGAAAATTTGCCAGAAGCCCTGAGCATCATCTGCTTCTTGTGAGCTAGAGGCTGTTGCTGACCAGCCTTGGTCCAGAGTATGCTGGGACCACACACTTCTGCATTAAAGAGGAGGAAGATTGGTGGCCTCAGAGTGAGACTCCCTGGGCTGCAGCCCTTGCTCAGGGTTAATAGAGTTGGAGCCTATCAAAACTTCAAGTCGCTTTCCATTTGTAACTTCTGAATTACCAAGTCATACGTAAGATAACGTACTTTGACAAATCCCATTGCGGATGTAAGTTAATTAGAGGAACCTGTATAATCCTTAACATTGGCAATAAACACAGGCTGTTAAAGCTTGCAAGAGTCAGGTAGGTTTAAGCTTGGATAATCAAACTAAAGAAACAGCCCGCATGAAAGGCCACGACGAGCTGAAGTCCTACCTGTGGTAACTCTCTTGCAGCTGATAGTTACAACAGGTATGCAGCTGGCTCATTACGTGGCCTTCCCCTTCCCACTTGTCCTGCCAGATGACTTTTACTGTTGCTGCTGCTGCTGCTGCTGCTTCAGTAAACAGGTAGTAATCAAACGCCTCAGCGAAGGGCACAGTTTCAAGAAACTTACTTTGTGTGAATTCCTTGCCAGTGTTTGCGAGACTCTCGATGGTTTATACTGAAGTTCTCAGTATGCTAATGCAAAGCTTATCTTTGACGATATTGAATGTGATATATCTATAGAGAAGAACTTCCTTGCCTTACGTAAGGATAGTAAACTTATTTAAATTATGTAGACAAATCAAAGTGGCATTGCTTAACCTTCTAGCCGGTGTAAAAACCAGGTTAAACAGCAAAGATGCAAAACTTAGGTCACTTTGAAAATTTAAACCAAAGTTCCTTATAGAAATAGGCAATTGTGGATTTGAAAACTGGTCATTCCCTGTTTATATGTAAGAAGTTCAGAGCTGAGATAAAGAAATATTTTCAACATGCAGATTTTAATTGGTGCTCTTCGAAATCACTGTGTGCACCAAAGTCAGACTGAACTGCTAAGAGCACATACCAAACCCTATCTTATTGTTGAAAGCTTAAGGTTTTATTTTTATATATTAGAATGTTATCACTATTACATAACATACTCAGGACAAAGAACTTTGCTCAGGGAATATACCATGTAATGTTGTTTTTTCTTTACAGAATAGTCTACAGATATGCTTACTCAGAACAAACCAAATAGTCTTAGACCTTTTTATCTCTATATAAGTATTATGTACTGATCTTAGTAACTACCTCTGAGTTGACATAGACCTACATTTCTGATAATCAGATCTCAGCATTTTGTATTATAAGTTCCTGTGAAATGATAAAGTGGTATTCTGTACTGGTTGCTTATGTGAGCATTTGTGTCTTTACATTCACAGGGTCTGAGTTTTCAGAGATGCTGGGCAGCCACAGCTCCCACTGAATTCCAGTTGGAGTTACTGGTGCTTAGCTTTTCTAGGAGGGGAGGGATGGGGGACAGGGGGGTGGAGGGGAAAGAGGAAAACACAAAAGCATCAAGCCCACTTTGTTTACATAGGTGACAATAAAATTATTATTCTGTTTACAGCAAAAGGCTACCTCATATTTACTGCATAAACACACCTTTGTGCTGCTCTAGCCTTAAAGGTGGCTGTTGATCTATGGTACATACTTTTTATCTGTACTGAATATGTAACTGATAGTTCACCACTGCACACATTATGGCAAATACTTGTTTAAGATGAAGCAACCATTTGAAATTATGAGACGTTTCCAAACATTTCTTTAGAAGTTTTTATTTTTCTGTCTAAAGGATTATGGGCACTGTTCACGAAAATAAATACATCTCCAAAAGAGACAAAAATGTGCATGCCTAAGTTAAGCATATAGCAGTGCAAGCTGTGGCAGGTATCTATGTAGCACTGGGCTGCAGTAGGAAAAAAAATCTAGTTATACTCCTTCAATAGCCTGCTCCAAATAAGCAAAGAACCCTTTAAAGGAAGAAGCACAGACTGAGTTTGGGATTCTTCCTTCATGTATAAGGACAAAATTAATATTCTGCAGCATTGGCTCAGCCTAGATTTCTCCTATTCACCAGCCTGTCCTTGCCAGGATGCTTCACAATAAAACTCTTTTGAGTTGAAATAGTTCAAATATCTGCTGAGAGAGATGTATTTTTCTCCTAACAATACTGGAGATAAGGTTAAACCCGGAACAAGAATATCTCTCCCTCCCATTACCCCACCCCAAAATACTCAATTTGATTTAATCAGAAGGGGCATTGTGAGGTATTTTTTAATCTCCTCCAAGGAGAGGTCATGGTATTTATTTACATGCCACAAAAGTTAAGCCATGAGGAAGACTTATGTTTGGAGGAAGAGCCAAATAACTTTTGCTGCAGTTGATGGGAACTCTGGTGTTGCAATACCATTTGCAATATTTTGCTTTTATCCAGCTTTCAAGGAGTGCCAAACACCACATTTGGATCCTACCTCTTCCCTCTATAGGCCACCTTTTTCAGCCCAGTTTTACTCTGCACCAGTGTTATCCTGGAGTTCCTGCTCAGTCGTACTTAGTTTTGTGAATAGAGCCCCATAAAAAGTGTTTATAGATCTTGTAACATTCTTTGTAAGAAGAATTATAAAAGAACATGGGAAATCTCATCGAGTCTTAAATTTAATTTAATTAATTTATCTGTAAGAAATGTTTATCATAAAAAAAATATATATGTATTCCCCTGTGCTAGATATAAAAGTAATTGGGAAGATATGTACATGTGCAGATGCACTGATTTTAATTTTCTAGAAGTCTTAATGAGATTTGAGTATTGTTTTAGAAACAAGCAGAGCCTTGTTAAATGCGTCGATCTTACTTTGCTTAGGATATCAGCAGCCTCTTCGTTAAGATCCCTTGGCTGTGTTACCCCTGTTACAACTGTTGACTGATAACAAGAGGTTGATCTATGAACACATGCTTCTTTTTTTTTTTTTTTTTTTTTTTTTCCTTCACCAGAGCTGTGTGTTAGCAGCTTTGGCAGTGTTTTTATGAGAATGTTGAAAAGTACCAAGGTATTTGCTACCATTGTTGTTGAACCAAATGTAAGAGCAACCATCTTTACAAAGGATAATGGTTTTGACTACCTCTTGGATTGCTAAGTTAAGCAACAACTGGCTGACAAACATCACCAGACTGGCTTAAACTAGTATGTGTTGCTTGTGGTAATAATAACAATAACCATACTAGAGACCAAAGTGAACACTGATTTCTATACGTCTTTAATACTGTGTCTTATCTAGTGTTTTTAAATTATCTTCTGTAGTATAGATTACCTCATTGTCCATTTTGACTTGTATGTTGTTTACAAGGTGAAATAAAAGAAAAATCACTTGAATTTTATGTTTTAAGGACAAGACAGTAAGTTGAAGTTTTGAAAGTCATTTCACCTGTTTACTGTCTTGAGGGACTAAAGCACTGATTGCCTTTCTACATATCATGTATTTTATATTCTCATTTCATGCCTAATGTCTTTTTTTTTTCCTGTCAGTCATGGATATTGTGAGGTTTAAAAGAATTACTTGATTAAAAATAAAACATATAACGTTGGCATTTACAGCGAGCCTTTGCCATTTTCTTTATTTACATGATAAAAACACCATACTGTCACTGGGCAGACTTGTCATATGCACCAATGTTTGCTTAGTTTTAGGATGTTATCTTCAGAAAAAAAATAAGTGTTAGTTATATAAGCTGTTGTTGGGGGGAGGGAGCAATAAATGATTAAGTCGTACCTGAATCATACTAGCAGTGCTGCCGAAATTGCATCCCAAACCCTATTCAGCTGTCGAAATCAAACTGCAAGATTATAGCGTTGGGTACTTACTCTCTGTGAGAAAACACTGGTCATTAAAGTCGTCAGGCGTTTGGGTTATCCTCTGGGATGAAAAGCTCTTTGTATTTAAGTCTCATCCCATCTTTATTACTTCTTCCATAATCTATAAGCTTGTACATATCTATTACATGCTAATTTAAAATCATTTGAGGAGGGGCTTTTTTTAGAAATGAAAGTGCTGTCATCTGCCATTACCTGGAAATTCCAGCTCTAAATTACACAAAGTGTACTAGTGAATTGGATAGCGTCGGCTCCTCATTCTGTATTAAAATATTTGAGCACTTGCGTGTGCTAGCTCCAGTGCCTCTGGTTCAATACAGGG